ACAGAATTTCCACAGTTACTTTCACTTAAACACACACTATACTTCACAACGATTCACGCACTTTACGTACGGTCACTACCGCTCACTTGACTCGATTATCTGTGTCTATATCTTCTTTCTCTTTATCTGCAATCCAATTAATTAATTCGCTTTATTTGTCGCGCTTATATACAAGAATATAGGGCGTCTAAAATGCACTCGCCTCTTCATGAACCTTCTAGACACTCATCACTGCTACCAGCGTCACATGACCTCTGCTGTCGTAACATTATATTTTTCTTCAAATATTTAACAGGTAAATCTTCAACTAGGGAAGGTACCATTTTCTAAATTTTGAATGTTCAATAATTCCTTTTTTTCATCCAATCATGGAGGCATTCTTACACACATATATATAATTTACAATTATTGGATAACTTAACTAATAATGTTTCCTATTAATTTTGTTCATGTAACCTCACAAGATCACACTAGTTGTCACCTGTGGTTAAAATGTCAAACAATACTCACATGCAGCTGAAGCAAACCAACAATGAAGCCACTCCCTTGACAGTATCCCACTTCACTATCATGGATTGAGTATGCTTTCATCACATTGAAGAGACCAGTCTGACCTGGCCCATCTTTCTCTTTGAAAAACTCATGTTCTGGGTAAGTACGTGCAATGTCTCTTTGAATTACTTTCTCGCATGGAGAAGAGCTCATGATATATTCAGCATACTGTTTCTTAGCAGCGTCATTTTGTGAATTACATAGTAACTGCCAGACTATCCCACGAAGGTGACTGGGAATTCCCTTTCTAACATGTTCCTAGAAAACAAAAAAGAACGTTGTTTTTTAACATATTGAATTGTTTGTATTCATCCTAATATAAAATTACAACTGAAAGTCAACTTTTTATCTCTATTATAAACATACACGTACAGAATAAGTAATAAAGCATACTTTATTTGAAAATATTTTAATTCGGTTGAAACTTTTATATGGGTTAAAATACAGTCAAATATATATGTTACCACAAGAAAAAAAAAGTATTCACGTGCAGTTATATAGGTTGTACTTAGGATTTTCAAGAGATATGGTAATTTATAATGACCCAAACAATCAGGGGACCTCTCCTAGCAAAAAGCTTTAAAAAGAGGGAAAAAGATTGTAAAAACATTCTAATTCTTTGCATATGTGAAGGTTTCATATGGCAATGGCTAGCAGCTTGTAATAATTTAGCCCTGTGTCTGTGTCCATTCCTTGTGTTGAGCGGGCCCATCTCAGTGGGTGACACAGTACATGTACAAACTGGTATGAGTCTGTGGTTTTCCTTCAGTATGAACATTATTTAAAATACTTGATGAAGTATGTAGCATTGGACTCTGATATACCACACTTTAATGTTTTACTTGAATTTGGCACAGTAATCAGAATTCATCTTGTTTTTGTTTGTGAATCAAAAACATATACATGTGTAGAAACGTTCTTCTTGTGTTTTAATCCATTAAAATACGGATTCAATACGTACAGTATATTAAATATGACCACTTTTACTTCGTGTTCTGGAGAATTTAATAAGTATCCTGTAAACATAGCTCTTACTACAGGGTTTTAATTATAACATTTCTTGACACTGCATTCTTGTGGATACTTTAAACTTATCTCTTGGCTATCAGCTTACACGAATACCACACATTTAAGATTGAAGCCATTCAACACAAGGATGTCATTTATCAAATAATGCCTTTTAAAACTATTGTCTGTATTTTCTTGTGTATTTCTTTACACAATGTTAACTTTTTCATTATTAGTATATCTTTAGTATCATATTTTTAAGGTTTATGTTATATTTTTCTTCAAATATTTAACAGGTAAATCTTGAACTAGGAAAGGTACCATCTGATTAGTGACGCGCATGAAAGGATTAACGAGATTCCCACTGTCCCTATCTACCATCTAGCGAAATCTCAGCCAAGGGAACGTGCTTAATCTATTTAAATTCAGATTCTTCAAATAAGCACTTTTACCTGGTGTCCTGGATAAGTTAATAAGTATACCGCAAACTTAGCTTTTACTACAAAATTTGAATTATAATTATAAACTACACAGGTCATACACAACTTTACGATTTGGTATTTTTGAACTGCATCTTAGCGTCGCCATCCGATGGCTCAGCGGCAAATCTGTAGGCTCATAGCATTAAAATTAGTTATAGTTAAGCTCAGCATTTAAAATATTACAAAAAGATACAAAAAAAGAAAAGAGTTACTCAAGTCATGCAGTACGAAATATTAAAACGACTTACTTTAATAAATAGATTATTTTTCTTCGTATGATTATCCCACTCATTTAATATCTTCCTCCAAGTTAAGCAGGCATTTTCTTCAAGTTGTTCACATTCCAGTGCTATGCTTTGATGAACTTGGGAAGACTGAGCAGAGATTATACTGGTATCAGATAGTTTCCGGGAGTGAGACTGAACCAAGGAATTTAATGACTTTGAGTCTGATTCCAAAAGTCTGAGAAAAAATCAGAACATAACACAGAGAGATTTAGTGACTTAGATGGATATTTTCCTGAAAATATTTTTTTTGAAAATGTGTAGAAATGCTCTTCTTATTTGCGTCTTAATCTATTTAAATTCAGATTCTTCAAATAAACACTTTTACCTGGTGTCCTGGATAAGTTAATAAGTATACCGCAAACTTAGCTTTTACTACAAAATTTTAATTATAATTTTTGTTGCTCACTAATCGTTAGCGTATCGGATTGCAACTCGAAGGATCTAGGGTTCGAGACCTGATGCTGTTGAACACAATCTTCATTTTCAGCTGTGGGTGTGGTGGTAAAGTGACATTTGATTCCATTATTGAGTTCAAAGAGCCGGACAAAGTCCTTGTGATGGAGGGTGCTGCTGGGTGACTACCTTCTCTCTGGCCACTTTGTGTTTGTTTGTTTGTTGTAAAGCATAAAGCTACTTAATGAGCTATTTGTGCTCTGCCGAGTGTGGATACTGAAACCGGAATTTTAGAGTTATAAGCCAACTGACTTAACGCTGAGCCACTGGGAAGCCTCTTTGGTCAATAATCTAAAATTATAGAGGTTATATCTAAACCCTCGGGATCTCTGATCTGACCTTACGCCCGCTTAAGCATAAGATGGCTTTCAGGCTAAAAATTTCAATTCAGATCATTAATCTTTGTTTGTACAATTATAACGATAATATTTACCTAAATGTAAAATAAAGATATTAATAAACTACACAGGTCATACACAACTTTACGATTTGATTTTTTTGAACTGCATCTTAGCGTCGCCATCCGATGGCTCAGCGGCAAGTCTGTAGGCTCATAGCACTAAAATTAGGTTCCGACACCTAGGATGGGCAGAGCATAGACAACCAATAGTGTAGGTTTGCACTTAGCAGCAAATAGACACAACCTTAACGTCTTTGTTATTGAACATACTCAGGGCTTAAACAAAGAGCTAAGAGAAGTGATATACAATAATAAAAATAATAATACAATTAATAAATTATTCGGTAAAATGTAGAATATATTATAAATTATAGTAATTAAATTAAACATAAAGAAGAAAAAAGTAAAACATTAATACAAGCAACAATGTAGGGAAATAAAACCAATGAGGGAATGAGCGCGTGCAACAAATAACGTTGTTCAAAGAGATACAACACTTCCTAAAAGGCGAGGCATAATTATTAAACCTGTTGATAACGGTAGCGTAATAGTGTTAGTAAATAACAGAACCTCGGAATTTCACCTTCTCAATAAAATTTATAAACTAGATAAACTGGTTGCCCTATTATTTCTGCCTGTAACTGCCTCACTGAATTGATTTCGTCTATTTTTCATGACGTCCTTAAGCCCTTTGTCTCGTCTCTTCCCTGTTACGTAAAAGACGCAAGACATGCATTTGAACCTTCAACAATTTTTAGTCCTCTGGTAGTAAATACTATGTATTTACCATGGACATACAAACATCTACACATCGATTCCCCATAGCAATGGTATGAAAGCCCTCAAACATTACCTGGATCTGCGATCTTCACTAAATCCCCACACACAACATACCCTCTTACGTTTTGCCAAACTTGTATTAACCCTGAACGGATTCTCCTTTAATGGCAAATTTTACCAACAAATAAAAAGTGTTGCTATGGGAACGAAAATAGGTCCTTCTTATGCTTCAATATTTGTTGAATATATATAGAAAATCAAATTTTCTCCTCTTATCAAGGAAGACTTCTTACTCTTTACAAACACTATATTGATAACATTGTTGTGCGGCCAACACACCCTTGTGTGACTTAAATAAATGTTTACAGTTTGTTTTCCCCTTCCATCCCGCACTTACCTTTACATGGACAGTTTCCTCAAAGAGCTTACACCTTTTAGACATTCGCATTTCCATTGAAGACCGTCATTTATCTACATCAATACATTACAAACCCACTCATTCTCATCTCCGCTACGACTCTTCTCATCCACGTCATACGTTTCACTCTCTTCCATATTCCCAATTCCTAAGGATGCGAAGATTCTGCAGTTAACATATCTATTACAAGTCAAACTCTGAAGATATGAAAGATTTCTTTATCAGTCGTTCCTACCCTAAGCCTTTAATAGAAAAAGTCGTCCAATGCGCCCATCCTGTGGCCCGAGAATACACCCTAAAACCTTAACCCAAGTCTACAAACTCTTGAATACCATTTATCTTTACTTACGATCTTAATACATATAAAGTTGCCCAGATCATCAAACAAGACTTCAATATCCTCAATGACGACCCTATAACTTTCAAACGTTTTAAAGAACGTCCACTCATCAGTTATAGACATGATAGAAATATCAAAAACGTCAAAGTCCACAGTATCATTCAGAAATTTTCCCCTAGTGTGAACCCTGGTACATCTCGTTGTCACAGAAAGAAATGCGCCACCTGTCAATATGCTAACACCACAACTTCCATACGTAGCCCTAATGGAAAATTCCAAATACAACAATCATTCGCCTGATATATTATTTGATCTGTAAAAAAATGTGTCGCTACTGTAAAAAACGGGTCGCTACTAAAGAGATCGTTCACGTGAACATCTCTCTTATATAAGAAACAACGACATCACGAAACCCACAGGAAGACACTTCGATAACTCTTCACATTACATCTCCTACTTCTCCACACTTGGACTCATATTTGCTCCCTCTATTGTATCTCAACGAGTACGCTTGGAAAAACGTTATATTTTTCACTATCAATTCCTTTGGAATGAATACAGAGTTCTCTTACCTTTAACTTTATCCTTTCCATTTTCCCGCCTCACACTTTCCCTTATACACGATCTATACTTTCTTACATTGAACATTTGTTGGCACAACACTTTTGTTCAATATACGCTCTATTTGTTTTTCCTTCCTAGCTTGTTCACTTTAGTCACCTTTAGAAAATTAGCAGAATCCTTTCTGATTATATAGAAGCTGTATACAATCCAATGGTCTGTACACAGTTATTTAAAAACGTACATAGAGGTGCGCAGACACACAAAGAATTTTAATTGGTCTATAGAAATCTTTATAAAAATGTTATATTTTTTTATACAATCTCGATTTGTAGAGTATAATTCTTTAGCAATTCTAAACATTTTTTATTAAAAATATTCATTAGAACTGGAATGTTTATCATGAATTTACTCTTAATTTTAGGACTTGAAGCAGGTGTTTGAGAATTTTTTTTTTGTAGAATAAAGTTGTGTGGTTTAATAGTTTATATATGTATGGCGTTTATTGTATTATGAAAGTGCATGAAGGAAGTGCCATGATCTTGGTCGAGTATATAATTAATCATTGATTAAGAAACATACATGTATCAGATGTTATAATAGTAAAAGAAATAGCTCCATCTGTTTCAAACAGCATTGAAAACCTAGAAGAATGTAAACTGTATTTTACTGGAAATGTATTAGAAGTACGTAAACTGTATTCCACTGAAAATGTATTAGAATAGTATAAACTGTATTCCACTGGAAAGGTATTAGACTAAAAGTGAACTGTATTCCACTGGAAAGGTATTAGAATAATGTAAACTGTATTCCACTGGAAAGGTATTAGAAGAGTGTAAACTGTATTCCACTGGAAAGGTATTAGAAGAATATAAACTGTATTCCACTGGAAAAGTATTAGAAGAGTGTAAACTGTATTCCACTGGAAAGGTATTAGAA